ATACATATGCACAACAATCAACCAACTGGACATGCTACCCGCGGCTAGAACACTCCCCACAGCATCCCTCAAGCTGCACCCAGAGCATTTAGTGAAATGTATTTCCTGAGGCAGCCAGTATTCTAGCCCATACAGCAGATCTCCAGAAATGTAAAAATGTTCAAGTCATAGCAGGTCTGTTCTGTGACTAGCGGTGGTGTTATAACTAATAGCAGAAACAGCTTGGGAAAATCCCCCGATACGTTGAAACAGGCCGACTTTCTTCTCCACAGCCCATGCTCAGAGAACACAGAGAAGATGAGCACATATTTTTAACTGGCTTAACGTGAAAATAAAACATGCAAAAGTAATTTGAGAAGTTTGTAGAAGATAAACTTTCATTACAAATTAGCATTAACAGGTTATTTGATGTCGCTTTGCTCATTTATTATTATTTTTATTTTTATTTGAGAAGCAGAGAGATGGAGGGAATGCCCTTCTGTTGATTTACTCAGCCACAATCCTTGTAATTCCCAAAATTAGGCTAAGGGGGATGCTGGGATTCAGACTGAAAACAGGACTTCCATGTGTGTGGCTGCCTCCGCCACCCTCACTCAGGGTCTGTAACAACAGGAGGCTGGGGTCAAGGCTCAGAGTGGGCATCTGAGGAGTGAGGCAGCAGGTAGGAATTCTCTCTGAATGTCCATTTCCAGCTCTTAAATAAATGATTCCTGTGAGCCCGGCACGGTAGCCTAATGGCTAAAGTCCTTGGCTTGCATACATGGGGATCCAAAATGAGTGCCAGTTCATATCCTGGCTGCTCCACTTCTTGCCAGCTCCTTGCTTGTGTCCTGAGAAAGCAGCAGAGAATGACCCAAAGCCTTGGGTCCCTGCACTTGCTTGGGAGACCTGGAAGAAGTTCCTAGCTCCTGGCTTCATATCGGCTCAGCTCTGGCCCTTGCGGCCACTTGGGAAGTGAACCAGTAGCTGGAAGGTCTTTCTGTCTCTCCTTCTCTTTGTCAATCTGCCTTTCCAATATAAATAAGTAAATAAATCTTTAAAAAAAAAAAAAGATTCTTGTTTAAAAGCTTCCCCCAGCTATGTTCACATATTATTCTCTGAAACATGTCAATATGTTATTTTATATGGAATAGCAGAATTGAATTAAGGTGACAGAATTAATCTACCTTAAAATAAAAAATGAATATACCTTACATTCTAGATGATCTGAGGTGGCCCCCAAGTCATTAGAAGTGTCCTTAAAGTTTGTATTTTTACATAATACATAGGAAAAGGCTTGTGGAAACTAGATTACAAGATAAATTTGGGGCCTAGCCGATAAAGTCCTTGCCTTGAACACCAGGATCCCATATGGGTGCTGGTTCTAATCCCAGCAGCTCCACTTCCCATCCAGCTCCCTGCTTGTGGCCTGGGAAAGCATTCGAAGACAGCCCAAAGCTTTGGGACCCTGCACCCATGTGGGATACCCGGAAGAAGTTCCTGGATCCTGGCTTCGGATCAGCATAGCATCAGCCGTTGCGCTCACTTGGGGAGTGAATCAACATGTCCTTACCCTATTTCTCCATCTTCATTCCTTAAGCATAATTTTAAAGAGAGCAAATGAAGCTGGCACGACTTAAATGTAACTTGGAATTATCTGCCAAAGGAAAGAATATCTTTAGATCTAAAGATTCTAGTCTAAAGAATTATTATGTAAGCACAATTGCCCAATGCATGGGGTTTATTCATTCCAGCTTAGCGTCCAAGAGTAATGGCTTGGCAAAAAGCTAAAGTAGCTACCTTTAGCACTCAATGGAATATTTTACAGGACCCTAGGAAAAAAGAGGCTTTTAAAAATTTTGCTAATAAAAAAATCACCAAAAATAAAAAAAATTAAAAGAAAGCTTAAAAAAACTGCTAATGTAATTCTTTACTTACTAAAGTAGGAGAATGCCTAAGATATTTTTAGTGATGGAAAGAAGGACTGAACAGTGGATGTACAAGTTTTGTAGAAATAGTTATCTCTGGGGCCGGCACCGTGGGGCAGTAGGCTAAGCCTCCATCTGCAGCCCTGGCAAACCATATGTGTGCTGGTTTGTGTCCCCGGAGCTTCATTTCCCATTTAGTTCCCCGCTTGTAGCCTGAGAAAGCAGCAGAGGATGACGCAAGGCCTTGGGACTCTGCACCTACATGGCAGACATGGAAGATGCTCTTAACTGGCTTCACATCAGCACAGTTCTGTCCATTGTGGCCACGTGGAGAATGAACCAGTAGATGGAGGATCTTTCCCTGTCTCTAACTCTACCTTTCAAATAAAAATTACATAATAATTTAAAAAATAATAATATAATAAAATATTTGAAAAAGAAAGAAAAAAAAAACCCCAGCTATCCGGGCCTAGTGCTAATGGCTGAAGTTATCACCTTGCATGTACCTGGGATCCCATAGATGCCAGTTTGTATTCTGGCTGATCTACTTCCATCCAACTCCCTACTTGTGGCTTTGGAAAGCAGTCAAAGATAGCCCAAAGCCTTGGGACTATGCACCCTGTGAGAGACCTGTAAGAAGCTCCTGGCTTCAGATCAGCTCAGCTCCAGCTGCTGCAGCCGCCTGGGGAGTGAATCAGAGGATGGAAGATTTTCCTCTCTATATCTCCTTTTCTTTGTAAATCTGACTTTCCAATAAAGATAAATACATCTTAAAAAGTTTCTCTGAATTTGATGTAGATTTATAACATATGCATGGGCATGATCAATAGATCACATTTAATAAACATGAAACAGTCCCCTCCAAGATGAGTAACTAAAGGGCAGGGATGGAAAAGTAATTGTCTCTCTTTCTATCTCCTCCTCATAGCTTTGATTTTTGTATTAATATATTTCTTTTTTTTTTTTAAGATTTATTTATTTTTATTGAAAAGCCAGACACACAGAGAGGAAGATGAGAGACAGAGAAAAAGATCTTCCGTCCAATGATTCAATCCCCAAGTGAGCGCAATGGCTGGTGCTATGCCAATCCGAAGCCAGGAGCCAAGAACTTCCTCCACGTCTCCCATTCGGCTGCAGGATCCCAAGGCTTTGGGCCGTCCTTGACTGCTTTCCCAGGCCACAAGCAGGGAGCTGGATGGAAGGTGAAGCTGCTGGGATTAGAACCGGTGCCCATATGGGATCCCGGTGCGTTCAAGGCGAGGACTTTAGCCGCTAGGCTACTACGCTGGACCCTGATTTCTTAATTTATACAGAGGTAAACATGTACATATATATAGATAAAAGAATAACACTGGAAAGAAACAGCAGGTGGTTTGTTAGACTTTTTTAAAGATTTATTTATTTTCATTACAAAGTCAGATATACAGAGAGGAGGAGAGACAAAGAGGAAGATCTCTTTGGGCCATCCTCAACTGCTTTCCCAGGCCACAAGCAGGGAGCCAGATGGGAAGGGGAGCTGTCGGGATTAGAACCAGCGTCCATATGGGATCTCGGTGGGTTCAAGGCGAGGACTTTAGCCGCTAGGCCACGCTGCTGGGCCCTATTAGACATTTTAAAACAAAAAAAATTTTTGTAGTATTTATTTTTATTTGAAAGGCAGGCCTACAGAAATAAGGAGGAACAGAGAAAGAGGATATTTCATCTGTTGATTCGTTCTCCAAATGGCTGCAAGGCTGGAGCTGGGCCGGTTCTGTTGCATAGCCAAGAGCCAGGAGCTTCTTCCAAGTCTCCCATATGGGTGAGGGTCCCAAGGACAGGAGCCATCCTCTGCTGTCTTCCCAATCCATAAGCAGGTGGGTCAGACATGGAGCAGCTGGGACATAAACCTGCACCCATAAGGGATGCCGATGTCACAGGCAGAGTTTAGCTTGTTACACCCATGTGCTGCCCCCTCCAAACTGAAACAAATATACCTCTACTGATGCCAGTGAATAGCTTTAGTAGCTAAAAAACACCTGGTGAATGCGTGCATTTCTTATTCTATTACAACTCAAATCTTCCCATTTCAATACAAACAATCTTTCAAATGGGTGGTTCCAAGCCAAAAAGCGAAAACAAACAATAAGCAAAACAAACAAACAAAAACAAACCCATCACCACAGTGCTTTGGAACATAGCCAACAGGAGCCGCGACCAGTGAAGCTCACTGGGTTCTGAGTGCCGTTCTGAGAATTTTGGCTAGTCTTAACAAACTGTGACTTTACTGGAGGTTAAATCATGGCTTGCCCTGACTTGGCCAGGTCTAAGAGGTTGCCGCAAAGGCTGGAGAGTGCTATTCTGAAGAAAAATATCAGTGGTGGGCTATTCTTAGATGATACAAAGAGGGGAAAGGTGGGCCATTTTGGATTCCCTGGACACGCTCCAGTGCACTTGTAAGCCCAGCTCGCTGCATCTCTTCTCTTTTTCGGGACCTGTTGGGGCGGGAGGGGTGCTGTTGGATTAGAGACTTGACGCTGGGATGTCTGAGTCCCACAACCAGTCCCCAAAAGCAGGTCTCTGGGGGCTGGGCCAGACTGTCACTTCGGTGGCTTTCTGGGGCCCCCTCACCTCAGCCCCGAACTGGTCGATCTGGCTAGGCCAGCCTCGCCCTTCCGAGCCCCACTAGCGGGCTCCGGCGGCGGCGCAGCAGGCTGTGCGCGCCCGGACTTGCAGACCCGGTCCTGCCAGGCCGGCTCTGCCCGGCGCGGCCTCCGGTGCCCAAGGGGTCGGGCCTGAGCCAGCTGGGCGGTTCCCCGCTCCCGGCCCCGCCTCGGGCCCCCAGAGCCGCCGGCCGAGCACGTCAGCACCGCCCGGCGTCGCCTCCTCCCGGCGCCGCAGGCCCGGAGCTCCCGGACTCCGCCGGAGGGGCGGGGCGCGGAGGCGTCACGTGACACCCCGCACCCGCCCGGCCCCGGTCACATGGGTGGCACGGCCGCTGCGTCAGTCACAGCCCTGGCTGCGGGAGTCGAGCCGCCGCCGCCGCCAGCGGACGGGGCGGGGATCGCGGTGCCAGGTCCTCGTCCGGCCGCCCCCGCCGCCTCAGTCAGCAGTGCCCGGCAGGGCCGACCGTCATGGAGCGGGGCGGGACCTCGGCCTCCAGCGCCTGAGGTGCGCCGCCGCCGCCGCCACCGCCGCCTCAGCTTGGCCAGGCCTCCGGAACCCCCCGTCTCCACCCGGCGCCCCTCGCCCTTGGCAGCCTGTCGCCGCCTCCTGGGCGGGCCCGAAGGCGCGTCCGGTGAAGGTGCAGGCCCGGCGCCGCCGCTGCCGCAGCCGGGAGATGATTCGGGCCTAGCGGAGCCGTGACGGGAGGTGAGGAAGGGAGCGCCGGCGGGGCGGGGGAGGGGCCGGGGGCGCCCTCGGCTTGGCATGCCTTCAGCCGGCCAAATTGGCAAAAAATAAAGAAAGAAATAATAAAGAAAAGGCAACCCAGTTCTACCCAACATTCCCCGAAATCCATCTTTTCACCACCCACTCCCCTCCCCCCAGCCGCCTTCCTTCGTGGCTTGAGCCATTCCTTCCCTCGGACGTTCCAGCGGCTGATTTGTGAGTTTGTCATCCCCCCCACTCCGATTTCAAGTTATTTCTAGGTAATAGAGAAAATGGGCCCGGATTCTGGTATCGTTCCCCAACTCGCTCTCGCGATCCTGCGCGCCTCCCTCTCCTCCCCCCCCACACCCCGCTCTTCTGCAAGAAAAAAAAAAAGGGAGGGGGCGGATTTCCGCCTTTGACTGACGGAGGGGGTGACTAAACCTGGGCATGTGGGGGTGCGGGGTCGACGCCCCCACCCCTCGCGGGCGGCCCGCTCCCCGCTGGCCCCCGGGCTGCGTCGGGATCTGGCTGTCGAGGCCTAGCTTCCAGCTGCCTGAGCTCGGGGTTAATCTCGTAATTGACGTCAGGGCTTTGTTCCTTCCACTTTGCTGTTCCTTCCACTCTGGGAGGATGGATCGTGGGGTGTAGGAGTTTAGGGGAATGTCCCTGACTGCCTTTTCATTCACAGACAACATCCTTTATCGGGAATGGAGAGAATAAATCCGAAATGCGTGGGTGGATATGGAGTTCGGGGGGGGGGGTTCTATTTCGTGTTCTCGTAGTTGTTGCTGTTGTTTTTTTTTTTTTTTTTTCACTTGCAATCCAGAATGATGAGGGTCCCCTCCCTTCCTCCCTCCCTAAGCCCCCCTGCTGGCCATCGGAGATTTTAGACCAAGGCACGTCCCTTTTGCAGTGGGCAGTGTTGTTCTTGATGGAACAGAAGCGCTAGGTGCGTCTGACCAGGCGGCTTGTAAATGTGACGTTCGAAATGTGTGTGTGTGTGTGTGTGTGTGTGTTTTAAGACTCAGAAGTGAAAAGCTCCCAGCTTTGTGTCTGTGTTGATTCTGCAAAGCTTTGTGAAGTGATTGGGGTATTTAACCGTCCCTCGACTTAACGCAGTGGAAATGTTTGTGAGAACTTTGTTAATTCGTGATTTGATAAGGGGCCTTTGTGACTGCGAGTCTGCCTAGAATCATCTTTGGTCACATATGCATAAGCAGAGTTGGCAGGTGGCCACTTGGTTCTCCACAAAGCAGGCATCTTTAAATCGCTCAGGCTTCCTTTCCTTATTCAGCACTGTGTTTTTCAGGGTAGACCCAAAAAATAATCTGAAAAAGTTTTAAATTATAGTGTTTGGTTAATTTAATGGATTTTTGCATTATCTTACAGTTTCATTCAGTTCCCAGGGGTCTGCAGACTGACTTTGATTTTGATCAACTCTATAGAGTTGGAGGCACGTTTTTACTCTTAAGTCCTATTTTGCTTCCCACCGTATGGGAAAGGCTGGAAGAAAAGTGCTTAGCTGTGTGAGCTGGGGCGCAGTGCTGGGGTGTCGGGGTGACTGCAGGGCTCTGCTGAAGCTGTGTGGTGAAGGGTCCTGAAAGACAGAGACTTTTTGTTGCCATTCACTCTGTGTCTGTCGATTCACAGTCCTGCATCTCCTCCGTTCTTCACTTACTGTAACAGCTGATGTATTCTGAAGGGTCTCAAGAGCAAGCAAAGTGTTAATTTCTCTTTATCCGCCCCAATATTGTACATAATTGCTAATTGGTGGTGCTATTTTGAATTTGAAGTTATTGTTGTATCAGGTTATCTAATCTAAGATTCATGATAAAGTCAGGTAGAGTAAGCAGTAGGAGCCAGGGATTGGCCTTGGGGGGGAGGGGGGAAACGCAAAAGAGTGTCTGCTTCAGCAGCTGGGAGTTCCGTGTCTCAGCCTTTTTGAGAAGGTAAGGCAAGTGTCGTGATTTCACGTGTGCCTTACAGGAGCAAAAGAAACAGGTATTTCTTCTTCTGTGGCCGTCTGCTGGTTTAGAATGGAGTCCAAAATGTATGAGGTCTCCCTTTTCTTTGTAGTATTTTCCATAAAATTAAGGAAGAGAGCACAGCTGGGCAAGGAACAGTGTGTTTCCGCAGTTTATGTTTTATGTCAGCCCTGTTGTACGGACATTTTGACAACTTTCCTGTGGATCATGCAGGCTCCCCAGCTTCTCGCTGTCCTCATTAGGTTTTACTCATTTCGTTTTTCATTTTGTCTGATTATTTGGAATGATTGTATTTGATTTCTGGGAGGATGTTGACCAATCTCAATTATTGTGAAATAAGGTGTAGTTACTGACTGAAGCCTGCTGAAGGCTCACCTGACCTGCCCCTCGCCAGGTTTTCTTTGGGTTTAAGGAAAGCACCACTTGCTGCTTTAACTGCCCACTCACACCCACCCGTTTGGTTATTTGAAGTGATACTCTAGAGCTTGGAAAAGATCAGTAACATTCTAAGTTATTAAATTTTGGCTGATCATTTGCATTCCTTTTTGTCTTGATGCTCATTTTTCACTGGCATCATATCTTGAGAATTTTGATGGCACTAGCACACAGAAAATATTAAACCACTGAATTTAGTTCCAAAGTATTCCAAGACATTTTAATACTGGGATCACTAGTCTAGTTTTACACTTGGATCTTAGCCAAAAGTCCGAGAAGTGATACACTAATCTATTTTTGAAGGGAAAAGATTTGAAATGTACCTGGTGTATCAATTATACTTTAGTTTTAGATTTATTTATTTTTTATTGGAAAGGCAGATTTACAAAGAAAAGGAGAGACAGAAAGATCTTCCATCCACTGGTTCACTCCCTGAATGGCAGCATTGGCAAGAGCCGAGCTGCTCCAAAGCCAGGAGCCAGTTGCTGGGAGATTGTTCCCAGACTCTCACACGGGTGCAGGGTCCCAAGGCTTTGGGCCGTCCTCTACTGCTTTCCCAGACTACAAGCAGGGAGCTGGAATGGAAGTGGAGCAGCCAGGACACGAACCGGCGCCCATAAAGGGTGAGACGGGTATAGTTGGAAGATTAGCCAGTTGATCTAATGTGCTGGCCCAGTTCCCCCATCTTTTAAGGTGATGTTGTTTTCCTAAAGTTGTGTGTGAATGCTCATTCTGTAGCAGCTCTGATCTACTTTCTTGGACTCTATCACTTTATGTTGATTATAATGAATTCTTATGCAACTGCCGAGCAAGTGGGGCTTGCTCGGGTACATCAAGCCCAGTGTGTCAGGAAAGGCACATTAATAAAGGAAAGATTGTATTGCAGTGTTTCATTATGGATCTCTAAGCGTAAGGATTTTAACAGCAACCCCAATTTTTTTTTTTTTTGAGAGAGATATATTTTCATTTTTACTTGAAAAGCAGAGTTACAGAGACAAGGAGAGATAGAAAGAAAGAGATGCTCTATCCACTGGTTCACACCTCAAATGGCTGCAATAGTGGAGCTGGGCCAGTCTGAAGCCAGGAACTTCTTCTGGGTCTTCCACAAATGGCAAGGACTTAAAAGCCATTCTCCACTGCTTTTCCAGGAGCTGCTTTGGAAGTGGAGCAGCCAGGGCTAGAAACAGTGTCTGCAGGGGATGTTGGTGCTGCAGGTAGAGGCTTAGCCTGCTATGACACAGTGCCAGCCCCAGTTATCCCAATTTTATACACTAAAAAATATTTTTTAAAAGATTTATTTCTGGGCCCTGCACGGTAGCCTAGTGGCTAAAAACCTCGCCTTGAATGTGCCAGGATCCCACATAGGTGTCAATTCTAATTCCAGCAGCCCCGTTTCCCATCTGACTCCCTGTTTGTGGCCTTGGAAAGCAATCAAGGATGGCCCAAAGCCTTGGGACCCTGCACCCACGTGGGAGACCCAGAAAGGACTCCTGACTTCTGGCTTTCTATCAGCTCAGTTCTGGCCATTGTGGCTGCTTGGGGAGTGAATCAACAAATGGAAGATATTCCTCTCTGTATATCTGACTTTGCAATAAAGAGAAAAACTTGGGCCTGGCAAGGTGGCCTAGCGGCTAAAGTCCTCGCCTTGAACTGCCAGGATCCCATATGGGCGCTGGTTTTAATCCCAGCAGCTCCACTTCCCTTCTAGCTCCCTGCTTGTGGCCTGGGAAAGTAGTCAGGACGACCCAAAGCTTTGGGACCCTGCACCCGTATGGGATATCCAGAAGTTCCTGGATCCTGGCTTCGGATCAGCATAGCACCAGTCATTGCACTCACTTGGGGAGTGAATCATCGGACGGAAGATCTTCCTCTCTGTCTCTCCTCCTCTCTGTATATCTGACTTTCCAATAAATAAATAAACAAAAAAAAAAACCTTAAAAAAATCTCTAATTAAAAAAAAGGACATTTCTATTAGGCAGATTTACAGAGAGAGGGAAATTCAGAGAGATTTTCCATCTGCTGATTCACTGTTCAAATGGCTGTGATAGCCAGAACTGAACCAGTCTGAAGCCAGGAGCCAAGAACCTCTTGCTGGTCTCCCATGTATGTACAGAGTCCTAAGGCTTTGGACCATCCCCAACTGCTTTCCAAGGCCACAAGCAGGGAGCTGGATGGGAAGTGGAGCAATTGTGGCATGAACTGGTGACCATATGGGACCCTGGGGCTTACCGTTGGAGGATTAGCTAGTTTAGCCATCATGCCAGCCCATGTCTAGAAATTTGACACATTCTTTCATGATTTTTGTTTTGGTTTGTTTTAAATATTTATTTTATTTTTATTTGAAAGGCAGTTCTCAGCAAGAAGAGAGACACACTGAGAGATCTTCCATATCCTAACTCATTCCCCAAATGGCCAGAGTGGCTGAACCTGGAACCTTAAGCTTTTACATGGTTTCCTATGTGGGTGCAGAGGCTCCAAGACTTGAGCCATCCTGGGCTGCTTTCCCAGTCTGTAGGCAGGGATCAGGATTGGAAGCGAAGCTGGTGGGACACCAACATCCAGAGGGGTGCTAGTGCCACA